AAACTAAAAGATACAAACTTTAAAAGGGGATTTTATCTGATTTTGCAAGTTCAGAAATACTTAATTTAATTAATCAACTAAAATTACTTCAAAACTAAGCAGACAATTAGAAAACGAGATTTGATCAGGAATTAAAAGATACTTCCATTTAGCTTCGAATCCCCCTTTTTCCTCTGGTTACTTTCAAACAATGGATTAATATATGTTGGATACTAAATTTAAATCCACTAATTATCATGATCAGACTAACTAACATATATCGATTCATGAAACTTAACCACAATGATCATGCAAATTAAGAACACTAAATTGATTTTTAAGATCTATTCGGGCTATGAATGAACAAATCTAAGAATTATCTACCCATGATCAAGATTAGACAATCAAGCAATTTATTATGATCAAATAATGCTCTATAACACAATTACGCAACTAACTTTAACACTTATACTAGGGTATGATCAACCTCTAGCTCTAGCAATTTAATGATCATAAACAACTAGGTAAACAAGTTCATGCAATCAACGGCCGTATAACTTCACAAAACTTGAGGAAAAGTAATAAAGATAGAAACTTTTAACATGCTAAGATAATGATCTATCAAACACAAGCTAAATCCAACTTCATTAATCCATAAAAGCAAAAAATTAACACATAATATTAGGGTACATCTAGTCTAAACGAAAGTAAAGGGTTATTAGCCAATGATTACAACATAAAAACACTTAATCAAAGAGTAAGCTAAATTAGACATGATAAAACTTATGCAAACCGAATGATTAGTTGTAGATCTTTACTCAAATCTCTATAATACTCTATCTCCAATCGAAATCTGGTCTCCAAGGGTTTCTTAAAGGGTTTTGGTTGTTTTTTCTCAAGATCCCAGTAGCTCTATATGCATGCATGCCAAAAATCTGACCTAAAAACTGATATTTATACTTGCCAAATTATCACTTCCATGTCGTGGCCAAATAGTCGCCATGCCATGGAATCCATTCAAAACGCATATGTCGCAAGTCGTCATCAATTATGTCGAGAACCTTATATAATGCCACGACGTAGACCAGAATTTACCACACCATGGAATCTTCATTATACACACCTATTTCTTCTTTATCATGCTTAATCCTTCAGGTTTCCAGCTCCTTCTAGATTTGGTCCGTTTCTTTGAGATTGTCCTACTTTGGCTACAAAATAGAATTTATGCTTATAAGTACCCAAAATCTTTTATATTTAACCAATATAAAGCTAAATTACATTGAAATAACGCATAAATATGTGTATAGATATGGAAATATCAATACTATATGAGTAATAGAAGATCTCATGATGAGATAAAGAGATAGAATGTCCATGGGACAAATATTATGTGATGAGTAATATAAAAGAGTTAGAGAAGTGTAGAAAGATGATTCCTTCGGGAATAAGAATATGGGTCCTTTGTGAACGAGATTATGTTCCCATGGGGAAAGAGATGATGATTCCTTCAGGAATGTCGATAGATGATTCATGTGGGAATAGAGTTATGTGTGGTTAGATAAAAATGAGAAAGGTTCCATAAGTGGAACAAGATAAAAGAGTTCTTGAGAGAACTTAGATGTGATCCAAGAGGGATTAAGAATAAGGAATCTATGAGTGATTCAAGAGAAGAAGAATGGTTAAGGATCCACGAGGGATCTTAAGAGAGGGAAGTAAGACTGGAAGAGTGTACCCCGTAACATTAGTGGGATGTTGTTTTCCTTAGATGATAGTTAAGGCTAAGGCATGAGAAACTGGGTATAGAGTAGTAGTGTAAGTAGAGTAAGAGAAAGGCATGCCAAGAGTAAGAGATGAGAAATGAATAGAGTATGAGTGTGAGAAGGGTATGCATAAAAGGAGGAAAGCGTAGAGAAAGATGAGATGAGATAAGAGTAAGAAATGAGAAAAAAAAAGTAGAGAAGAAGAGTATGAGAGGGATCAAGTAAAAGAAGATAGAGCATGCATAGAGCATGAAAAGAGCCTGAGAAGAGGCTAAGAAAAAGTACGAGATAAAGAGAAAAGATAAGAGAAAAAGAGTAGAAAATGGAGTATGAGATAGAACAAGAGTAGAAAGTAAAGATGAGAAAAATATTACAAGAGATAAATGAATGAGAAAGAATATCAATGTATGCTATAAGAAGAAGATACTATATTGCAGAGTATGAGAAAGAAGCAAAGAAGAAAGTTCGAGTATGGAAAGATAAAGAGATAAAAGGAGAGTAGATAAACATGAATATAAAAAGAACATAACTCACCAGACATTGTTGTGTGATGTTGTATAGATGTTTAATGTTTTTCAGGTTCAGATAGCAGTCGGTGTACACGAAGAAGATAGGAGCACAAGGACTTGGATTAGGAGTAGTTTAATTACTTGTATATTCCTTGTTGCCTTAATTTAGTTGTATGATTTTATTGTAAACCCGAATTATTTCGTGGGATGTAAAATGTTTTATTTTTATGAGTTAACAAAATTTCACAAATATTTAGATATAACTCTGATAATCCCTAGATAAATAGATGATACAAATCTGGGTTGTTACATGAAACATCATCGACTTGTTCATATCGATGATTGATCTCAATCCATATTTCTTTTGCAGTTTAGAGAAAAAGTAAGCTCTCAGCAATGTTTCTGTGTAGAGAATTCTAGAGCCAGCTTATGACCATTGAATTTGCTCTAACCAATTCGAATAAGATGGATTTGTATAAGAAGGTTTCAAAATTGAACCATCATATCAACAAAGCCAATTTTGTTTTTCGTAGCTAAAACAACCATCATAGATCTCTTCAAAGAATTGAAACCAACACCATTGAAAATAGAGGTGACTAACTGAGAGTTGGGATTATATGAGGAATTGATGAAATACGGACTAGATTGATCAAGATTAGTAGAAATAATAGGAGTAAATTGAGACATTGTGATGAAAAGAAGAATGAATGATCAAATTTCAAAAAAATGCAGAAAAATTGATGAATGGATGAAGAACATATGATGATGAAGATCAATTAGCTTAATATGATACCATGTTGTAATTAAGAAAAAAAAATCACTGAATGATTTCATTCATTAACCTGATTTCTTAAGTTACAATCAAGCTTGAATCAACAATATATACAAAACAAACTATCTCTAATTAATTCTAACAGAAAATGAATGAAAATAACTAAAATGCCCTTGAGGATAAAATGATTAGAACTGCCATAACGAACTTCGTGAGTGCACTTGTAACACACCAACAATTAGACAACTATAAAGAAGATTACATCCCCCTTTCCTCATGATTAAAAATCTCTATGTTTGATAATATCTACCAATAAAAAGTGATAATATCGGAATGAACACAGTTGTTATATCAATGTAATAGAATCAAAACAAAGCTTCTAATCAAATGTGATAACGAAACAACACAAAAGAAGAAAAAACCAATTGTCAATTTGTTTTCGCTTAAGATCACACAAGTTGTTATATTAAACATGAAAACAATTGAAAGTATGTAACGTAGATTCAAACTTCAAATAAACCGCAATTTAATTTCTATTATCTTTCAACCATTAACACAAATAAGACTAATGAAATTTAGATAATCGAAAGTTTGAAAGGCATCCTGAATGGTTTAGCTCCAGGATTTGGGAAGGTGGGAGTTGAAGAGATAGCCGATGACAAAAACAATAAGAAAGAGGCATATTTTAGAAGCTTATAAAAGATATATAACATTTAAAATTAAACCGAAAAAACATTACATTTCACATACTTTCTAAAATATTTAAAAAATAACCTGTTTTAATTTGATAACCACCTAAAAAAAAAAAAATTTTTGTGATTAAAAAGAATAAAAAAGCTTAATGCACACGGCACCTCACAACTTAGACGGAAAGACGAAAAGTTTTCGCGCGCGTGGGTAGCGTCTGCTCATATTTGCCCGACACGTACCCCTACAAGTGGGTCCCACAACCACCGATATAACCCTTTTCTCTCTCCTGCCCCAAACTGACCAACGCTTTTCCTTTTTCCAATCATCTCCCTCTACGGGCAACCCTACTCCCCCTTAGGTCAAGGGTATAATTGGGAATTTGTGCTTCTGCCCGTATTCTACGGGCAACTCTGAAATTTTGCTTTCCGCTAGTCTTCGATTCTATAATTCATCGTATCTATTTTGGATACTTACAATTTACCCCCTTAATTATACCAACATACCAAATTTACCTCCAATAAAAAAAATTCATCCCCTCCTAAATATAAAGGCTTCAATTTATTTTGCCGAGACATGGGTGTGTTTTCCATAAAAAAAAAAGGTTGAGTTTCACATAGTCACATATCTTTTTTTAATTCTTTATATAGTTTAAGCATTTAATAATCAAAATCAAACGATTTACTAATACATACAACTACACGATAATAGTTGTAATATATTATTTAAGAAATTTAATAATCAATATAGTAATTGACTCGTTTTGATTGTTAAAAAAATATATAATAGGAAAAAATCCCATTAAGAAAGAAAAGGTGTTGTAAAATTCGAATAATAATATCTTGATTTAATCGATAACAATAAAAAAAAGCTAACTTATTTTATCAAACAATTAATCCTGAAAAGATGTTAAAATCTACTAATTAACTATTTCATTCAAATATTATAAATTGGTCTTGATTGATGAAATAATTATTTTAAATTGGAAATGTAACTGGTACATCAAAACTAATCGTTCTATATCTAAATATCCAATAAAAATACATAATAAAATATTTAAATTATGAATATTTAAAAAACCTAGTATATATATAATATATTATATTTATAAAAAAAAAATTAAAAAAAAAAAAAAAAAACTTCCTAAAAAATCGATTACGATTTTTTGGTGGTATGTTGGACACTTTTCATAATGATGGGGGTCTACATGAAAATACACAATCTACCCCATTTTTTTTCATTTCCAATCTCTCACACACATAAACACACACTCACTCTTTCTAGATTAGTATCATTCTTTTTTAGTTTTTAGTTGGGCAGGATTTGAACTGGTCATTCTTTTGTGAGATTTCTTTCATCTTCTCCGAATAGTAGACATAACCAGGTGGTGGGTGCTCTTGAACTGATATCATTTTCATATCTGATACACCTTCCACTCTCTCTCTCTCTTCGTTCTTTGAATCCATTCTAAATCGTGTTTAGTGATCTGAATCTCCTTTTTACTGTTGTGAAAACATTAAATGTTGTAATTTTTGTCATTATCTGTTAAAAGTCACAATTGGGTATATCAGTTTTCATTAAAATTTCCATCTTGGTGGGGTTTGTATGAGGGATTTTTTTTTTCTTCTTCTGTTGTGTATACAAGTCAAAGTCTATTCGTTCTCTTCTTCAGCCATGTGAGATGAGTGTTTAACCAAAGGCGTGTCACCATCTCCCATCTTTTCTTCAGATAGGTTTTGATTAATACATCTGGTTATCGTTTTCCCATCACGAATTCGCTTCAAAACTGGGTAATTTCGTCGAAATTTGGGGATTTTCATGATACCACTTGGGTTGAAATTTAGGGTTTGTTTCAAAAGATGAAATCTGGTGAGGAAAAAAGTGTTGAGTCTTGGCATGTTGTTAAATCAAAGGGGAAGAACAATCAACCTAAGAAAACCGATGCAATTTGTCGCGAAACGGAGGAGGGAACTACAGTCGGGTGTTGGAACAGGTGGAAATTCATCGGGAGCTGTATTTCTTCAAGATCTAAAGTCGATAATTCAATCAGTGGCATCAGTACTACTCCCGGTGGTAAATTACTAAATTCAATCAAAATCCCTTCACTCCCCTTTCAATTTCTCCTCTTTTGATGTTCTTTGCATCTTCATTTACTCTTTCATTTCGTGAAAAGCAGAAAGTAAATCGACAAATGACGTAAGCAAAGATCAACCGGTGGTTCCGGCGGTGTCATCAACCACCACAAGCACCGGAGAAAGCGTCTCATCCACCCAAAAACTAGAAGAAGAACTCAAAATCGCTTCTCGTCTTCGCAAATTCGCTTTCAATGATCTTAAAATGGCAACCCGAAACTTCAGACCCGAAAGTCTTCTTGGTGAAGGGGGATTTGGTTGCGTTTTCAAAGGCTGGATTGAAGAAAACGGAACTGCTCCGGTGAAACCAGGCACCGGACTTACAGTTGCCGTTAAAACCCTCAATCATGACGGACTTCAAGGCCATAAAGAATGGCTGGTTCGACTCTTATATCCATTTTCTTTTCTTTAATACTAATTTCTATTTATTGTGCTATTACTTGACTTAAATTTTGTGTTTTTAGGCAGAAGTAAATTATTTAGGTGATCTTATTCATCCAAATTTGGTTAAATTAATCGGTTACTGCATTGAAGATGATCAAAGGCTTCTTGCATATGAGTTCATGCCTCGAGGGAGCTTAGAGAATCATTTGTTTAGAAGTAAGTTTCTTAGCAACATTCTTCCATTTATTTGTTTTCTACAACATTTCATTTTTTTTCCTTATTAAGACATTATACTTTGAAAAAGCTTCCTAAATATAGCATTGTACTTTCTATTTTTTCCTTATTAGGGCAATATAGGTTGAAAAAATCTACCTAATTATAGTATTGTACTTCCAAATTCCAATTTTTTCCTTATTAGGACATTATAGTTTGAAAAATCTACCTATATATAGCATATACACTTTCATTTGTGTTCATTAGGAAAACTATAATTTAAAAAATAACCCAATAAGAAGAAATGAAACATTCATGTTTAATAAACAAATCAATGAAAATACATTGCTATTTATTGCATTTAACCCAAAGTATATGTATATTTTATAGGGTCTTTGCCTCTTCCATGGTCCATCAGAATGAAAATTGCACTTGGGGCTGCAAAGGGTCTTGCATTTCTTCACGAAGAAGCAAAAAGACCCGTAATTTATCGTGATTTCAAAACCTCCAACATTTTATTAGATGCGGTATACAGCAAAAGATTCATCAAACCCTTTTTTTTAATTAAACTTTAAAGTTTATCATTTTTTTTAAATGATTAAATTTTGTAGGAATACAATGCAAAACTTTCCGATTTCGGTCTTGCAAAAGATGCCCCAGAGGGCGATAAAACTCACGTGTCCACCCGAGTCATGGGTACATACGGATACGCAGCCCCCGAATACGTAATGACAGGTATGACTTTCTTTGACTCTCCAAAAAAACTTTTCACAATATTCATAAATTTTAGGTAAAGTGTTAGTAATTTACGATATTAACCCTTTTTCTTTGTGTAGGACATCTCACATCAAAAAGTGATGTATATAGTTTTGGTGTTGTTTTGCTTGAAATGTTGACCGGAAGAAGGTCAATGGACAAAAACCGTCCAAATGGCGAACATAATCTTGTCGAGTGGGCCCGCCCACATTTAGGAGAAAGAAGGCGGTTTTATCGGTTAATTGACCCGCGACTCGAGGGCCATTTTTCTATAAAAGGAGCCCAAAAAGCGGCCCAATTAGCGGCCCGTTGTTTGAGTCGCGACCCGAAAGTGAGACCTCTAATGAGTGAAGTTGTGGATTCTTTAAAACCATTGCCAGCCCTAAAAGACATGGCAAGTTCTTCATATTATTTTCAGACTATACAATCTGATCGGGTCGGGTCGAGCCCAAACGGGAGAAATGGGTCACGGGTTCCGGGCGGGTCGGTTTTGAGAAACGGGTCGCAGAATCCGAGGAGTTTGTCGGTTTCGAATAGTACACGGGCTTCACCTTATCACCAGCAGTTTTCACCAAAGCCGAATGAGAAGGAATAGAAGGGGGGTGTTTGGTTTGGTTATTGTTGGGATGTTTTGCTAGTATTATTATTATTATTATATTTTTTTATAATTTAGTTCTAATTGTTTAAAGCAGTATAAGAAACGACAGGAGACAGATGTGGGATTTATGTTGTTGTGATGGAGTTAAGAGTGATCATGGCAGTGTAATTTATGAGGAGCTGTGAAGTTCATTCTTTTTGGGTTGAGTTTGTGTTTTGAGTGGAACTTGTCTACTTTTCGCAAATGTTTAGCTGAAATAGAGTTGTCGACTAAAATGCCAATAAAGGTAGGGCTTATGTTTTAAAATAACCACTTTAATATCCTTTTCAAGATGCAATTTATTCCACATGGATTGCTTTAATTTGTATATAAAGACGATGTTGAGGAGAAAGACGAACAACAAATACAATACAAAACATATATCTCCGAAAAAGTTTTTTAAACAATGTCGTGGATTATAAAGTTTACATCTATTCCATTTTGATGATTCCTGATTACTGTAGTTTGTTTTGCATTGTTTTTAATTACTTGTAGATGTGACCAAACAAAAGAAATTAAAAAATTCTTGACATGTGGGCATCTTGTGGTCTACATTCTATTTTGTTGAATCATGTCTAGTCTTTTTTCAACATCTACATAAAGAAGATATAGACTAAAGGTTTGCAATATGTAAATAAGATTGGTGTTTTTTAAAGATAAGGATTGCATAAGTGATACTAAACCATATTGATCATAGATGATATCAAACAAACAAACCTGATGGTGGTGGTGGCAACGGTGTCAGTGGTGGTGGTAGCGGTGGCATGGTGGAGTTGGTGGCGTGTCAGTGGTGGTGGTAGCGGTGGCATGGTGGAGGTGGTGGTGATGTCATGGTGGTGGGTGTCGGTGGTGGTGGTAGCGGTGGCATGGTGGAGGTGGTGGTGTGTCAGTGGTGGTGGTAGCGGTGGCATGATGGATGTGGTGGTGATGTCATGGTGGCGGAGGTGGAGGTTGGCATGGTAGTGATGGCGAACGTGTAGGGAATTGGTGGGGCGATGGTGGCAGTTGTAATGTTTGTTGCACGAGAAGATAAACAACCATCTTAAGATAATTAATGTACATATAGTCATAGCGTAGACTAGTCTTTATTGGACAATTTACACCCATGGTTGTATAGAATCTTTAATAACCATGCATTTACATTTTTTGATTAGATCACATTAAACTTATCAAAATATATGTAACAGTTCGTTCTCTAATTTATGGTGGAGAATCGGAGATGTTTGTGTATTTCAAACCGCTGCTTATCACAACCTCTGGTGCCGGTGGAGGTTTGACCTCGGTGCCGATGAGGATGAACTATGTGAGGACTAAGGTGTCGGACGTCATCCGCAACGTCAAGATCGTGGTGCACAATGTGTACTTGCCATTTCCACATATTAATCTTGTGGCTGCGACGAATTTGTTGAGGAAAAGGAAAGCCCAACAACCAAACACTCCCGCCCCCAGAAGCGGAGACCGAGGAATCGCCAGGTTGTCGAGGACACGTCTGAAGAGGAGGCCGGTGACCTCTAAGTTAACTACTCGAGAATAGGCTTTTGGTATTTTTATTGAAAGTAGAGGAAGCATTCGATGCATCATATAAAAAAAAAGTGCAGATCCGACACAATCTTCCTAGAGATGGAAAAGATCCTGGACACAATCTTCCTAGAGATGGAAAGCCCCTGCCTTTTCTAGTCTCTCCTTCTTGCTTGCTTACCTAGCTCTTGTCTTAGTGACTCTTCCTCTTTTCTACTGCCCTTCAATTGTTTCCACCTCCTATTAGTTTGCGTTTTTTATTTTCTATTTGTCTAGTTTGTTGGATTGATGATGTATTTAATATTTGCATTGTAACAATCCATACATTGTTGATTAGATTTTTGGAATGTTGATTACTTATTTGTTGGGTTATTTGTCGGGTTTGTTAGATTTTTGATATTTTATAATAAAATATCAGTAATTAGATAAAAAACGTTACAATAGTCAACTATTATGACATATATAAAGCCGTTACAAGTATTTTTACAAACAAAACAAATATTATATTGCACAATGTGAAAACCATGACCATTACTACAAAAAACTTAGATTTGCAAAGTGTTGTTTTTCCAATTTCAAAGTAATGTTTTCATTCCGTTTCTTAAACTCCAAATAGATTTTGTTTAGTTCTGGTACTTGTTCTTCCAACTTTAAACTATCATTTAAGTTTCTCTTCGTCTTCAACTCTAAGTATGTTTCTTTCGGTTTTGATTGTATATATTTCAACTCAGCCATGCATGGCAAAAATCAAATCTTTATAGCTTTGTAGAGTTAATTACTCGTTTATCTTACAGTGACGAGTCTAGAATATAAAACAATATGGTTCACTTATTTTTCTGTAGAAATTTTTCTATACGAATTCAAAGATTTTGTTGGTAAGGTAGGTCCTAAATTTTTTCTAAGATAAGTAACAAAAGTTTTTCTATAGAAATATTAGATAAATTAGAAAAATTAGGTATGTCATTTGACCTACCTTCCTTATACACCACTATCTATCTATCTACAAAATTTACAATTTTTCCTCATGTCCTCTAAAAATAACATATTAAACATAGATTAATAACTAAAAATATGAGTTTATTTCAAATTTTAACCAAGATATTTGTTATATAAACCTTGAAATCAGGACATCATAAAAACCTTCCAAAGTTCAAGGGAGTCCATGACGTAAATAATAGAGCTTCCACATTATAGTGACACCTTCGGATTTCACAATTTCATATTAACCACATCCTCTTTTGGTAACTTGATACATGCGGAAGTCATTTTAAAGAATAAAAAAGTAAAAAACCTAGTATAAAGCCTCTCATCCATGATTATGAAGTAAAAGGTCAACCTCGCAAACATCTAGTTGGGCACTACCTCACAAAAGTTAATTTTTCCAAGCATTAACATGGTAACGTGCTCATTCAAGAGGTCGTAGTGTATTCCATTGTTAATGTAAATCATGAATTTCAAGGTATAGTTCACGAGGATTTGTTATTTTGGGTATATATCATAATTTAGAGATTTTAGGGTTAAAAAAGTTAAATTCAAATTATTTATTGATCGTGAAAAGATGGTACATAAGCTTTAACTAGTTGTGAAACCCATGTAATACATGAGTTAATTTAAAAAAGAAAGTTAGATATAAAAGTCTAAATATTTGAAAATTTTAAATTTATAAGAAAAAAAAATAATAATGAATTATTAAAATTGAAATGTTTTTTTATAATTTAAATTTAAACAAATAATTTAAATAAATAAACAAAATCAATTAATGAGCTTTAATTTAGGAATTTTAAAATTAAAAGGTAAGTTCATTAATTAAATTGATATTCATTTATTGATACATCTATTATAATTATTACATTAAAAGATTATGTGGAATTTAATAAAATAAGAAAAATCATAAAATGATATGTGGGAAAAACTTAATTCAAAATAATCAAAAAATGACATTTGGCAAATGAAATGAGAATGTGACATGTGACAAAAAAAACCTTCATTTATTAGAATAGATACGGCAAACCCAAATTCTATTCCATTTCCATTTCCAATGATTCTTCTTCATTAGGCATATCTACTCCTCGAATTCTAATTCCATAAAAGATTCATCAACTCTCCAATACTCCTATTTATATCCTTATTCTGTGAGATCTTTAAACACATGTTGAAAAAAATTTAGATGTCGCAAAAAGATATTATCATATACCTATACTATGTATAGTCCAACTTGCCAACAATGTTCTCTCAAAATATCCGTTGCGGCTCACCATCAAATTTCATACCAAACAACAATGCTAAACTCCACATGTAACACATGTTTTCACATATAATTTAAAATAGTAACAAAAATAACAAATAATATCAATTTAATAATTTTAGAGGTTAGAATGAAAATGGCGAGTCAAGTTTTGTAAATTAGGAATTGGCATAGCTAAATTACGAAAAATCATGTGCAACTCTTAGTTCTCTTAACCATAAATGGAGTAATATTGTTAATAAATAAGTGGGCTAGGATTCACACGAATTTTGTTTATCAACGTTTAGCGTTCAACCGTGTGTTGTTGTGCTAATATTACCGTTGGTATACTTATGTGGAAGTTATTATCAGCGATAAACACCATCCCTTGATTTATATTTTTGTCTGCGACATATTTGAACGATAAAGGTTTACCGTTTTCTCTCTCTATAATTATTGGGCATTTTCCTTTGACAAATGTGATTTTTCAGTCCTTATTTAATACCCTATTTTCTTTCTTTTTAATTATATTTTAAAGCAACTAGGAAAGAGCCCATGTTTCGTATGAGTTGGAAATAATTTAGAGTTTTCTAAAAAAATGACTCGAAGTGATAGTTTAAAAAAACATGTAACACCGACAAAATAATATTGGAAAAAGTATCGAAATATAACAATATTGGAAAAAGCAGGGACTAAATTAACAATTAAACATACTTTTGTGGATGGAGATTGCAAGTGTAAAAGTTGAAGGATGAAAACTGTGAAACCCCCTAAAAAGTGGGGGCAGAAACCAAAAGTCCTAAAACTCCTATGGCAAATCTGTGAAGGAAAGAAAAGTATGGAGTCAAAATATGAATGTTAAAAATTTACTGTTCAAACATCGCACGCGATTTAATATATATATATATATATATATATATATATATATATATATATATATATATATATATATATATATATATATATATATATATAGTTAGGATCGAGACACTTAACACACGACTCTAAACACACACACAACTCACGAAAAACAAGAACACAAGGATGAACACGAGGGATTTAACGTGGTTCGGTCCTTCTCTGACCTACGTCCACCGGTAACTAGGAATTTATATTTCTTGGTGCTAATCTGCACTCTTTCTGTGTTACTCTAGATACAAGTTTTACAAATACAGATGAATCTCTTATATAGAGATGGAAACACACATGGTTCCTGGTTTCCTGCCATTTTTGACCAGTTGTGGCTTCACACATGGTTCCTGGTTTCCTGCCATTTTTGACCAACTTTTCTGTGGATTCACACTCAACAACCTCCGTGGATTCACACTCAACAATCTCCCACTTGAAGCCACAGAACAATCTTCACCTGTGCTTCAACTGTGCATCTGTATTTTAAAAAAAATTTGATCTTAACTCCTTCC